ATTATGTTCGGCCCTCCCCCAGCAGGACAGGATTTTAAGTGAGCTTCTGCGAGCTATTTTTGGCTCCAAATGGGGACAAGTGCAGCCACCTAGGCGCCAGGTTGGCTGCGTTGGAGCCATCTTGGGGCCAACTTCGTCTACCTTGCGGCCCATAATGGTGATGCAACTTCGGCATTGCCAAAAGACAACCAAAAATACACCTCCAAAATGCTGTCCCCAGTGGCCCTGCAGCCGAGCAAGAATCAACGCAGCAACCACCCCAAAGCACGAAAACTCCTCCAAAGCGCTCTCGCAGTGGCCCTGCAAACACGATGTAACGAAAAATCATCCAAAAATGTACATCCAAAACACTCTCCCCAATGGCCCTGCAGCTCAACCATAGCGACGCACGCGCGAAAAAACACACCCTGCACCGACAAGCGGTGTGGGCGGATTTCATGATATGCTTGTTGACATCAACCGAATCACTCTCTATTCATTTTGTTTTTGGTTGTCTCAGATCAACGGTCACACGATCTGGCCAATTCCAGAAGAAGGCGCTGATTTCACACTGAAGGCACTGTGCAGTTCTGTTGGTATAAGCCTTTGAGTACATAAACAGAAGCCAGCAGGCTGCACGCCCAGCTACAGCAGCGCAGAATGTGGTGGTTGGGCAGGAAGGGGGTTGAATCATTCAGCAACGCTTGCTGCGTTTGTTGGCTTCTCAGCTTTGTTGCCAGGAGGTGGACAGGTGCATCTGCATTTCTTTGCGGGAACTGCCGGGGTATTTGCAGGCTTGCAAATAAGTCCAAACAAAATGGAACATGTTGTCAACAGTGGGTTTGGTATTTGACAGGAGTTTTGCTTCAACACTACCCAGTGTCTTGGCATTTGACTGCCTCCTGTTCTTGAGACTTTCTTTATTACCAAGGCCTGAAACATGGCTTTTGCCTCTGGGACGTGCATTGCTCTTTGGCAGGGACCGTGGACGTTCGGTTTCGAAACACAGGATCGGACCACCTCTGCATGCGTTCGGTTTCGAAAGGATCACTCTCCCAACCTTGCTGTGGAGATGCCTAAAGCCCAGACCAGACAGCACGAGCGCAGCATCCAAGTGATTGTTTTCTGACGTGTTCAGGAGAGACGAGGTGCTCTTTGCAGATTCCTTGTGATGGTTTGCTTTTGGCCGAAATTTTCCTGCATGGCAGGGCACAAAGGTCTTTTTGGTCTTCATTGCGGTGAGGTGCGATTCGTACGCGCAATTCAGCCAGCTAGACTTCCTAGTCTTGGAGTCGGGCTTCACTTTTCTTGGTTTGCTCGTCTCAATTAATTGGCTTAAGGGAACATCTGCAGGAAACCCATGTTTTCACTTCCAACACTAGGGTTTTCCTGTAGATATTCTCTTAAATTAATTCTGGGATTGCCAGCCACGAGGAACATCTCCACAGGGGAAAGTCTCTCTGTACCAGCCAAGCACTGACCGTTGTTCTTGATGGAAAACCCAATGTTTGAATCACAGGCAAATGTTTTCTATTTGCTGCTGAGGCACAGCCTTCTGTCAGCTATCGGAGCATTGAACTTGGAAACTGCGGTCGTCAATCTCTGGAAACTGCATATCCTGACCTAGGGTCGTGCGAGTTTGAGTGCCCCTTCCAGGCTGCTGCATGATATTGTTAAGGTTGCACGTGACTTGAAAGCCACTGCCACCAGGTCATTTCGCAGAGACTTTTGCAAACGGGAACTCTTTTTCAGGCTTTGCTCGATTGAAGATTGTTGACAGTGCTGGCGACAGGCTTGATGCTCTCTTGCGTGTTAATTTCAGTTGCGGCAAGGCCTTGCCAAATGACAGGCATTTCCTGAAAGACCAAGTGGGGCCCTTTGCACTGGTAGCTTTAATTGGGACTTGACCTCTTGGACCAATTTCAAAAATTTGGAAGCATGATGGCCCCTTGCTGTCAAAATGGCTGTCTGCCCAACCACAAAACCGTCTCAGTCCCAGCCGTGGAAGCAGCTTCGTTGTACGACATGTTCAAAGGTCACCTTTCCATCATCTTCCAAAACCAGGCTGGGTATTTCGGGTTTTGACCTCAGGCTTTTGAACAATTCAACTTATGATAACTTATAGCATCTCAGTCTACCTTTCCTGAGGCCTTCACGAAGTTGGGTGTTTTGCCGAATGCAGCATGGTTGCAGGCGAAATTGCCGAAGAGGCTTGTGGGTGCGGATTCCGCAGGTGTTTGTCATCGGATTCATGACCAGGTTCCAGTGCTCCCGATTCCCTGGAGTGCCACATCCTCACCTGTCAATTTACTTTTTGGATCAACATCTTTTGGTCAGACATGTGAGCCGAGGATGTGTGTGAAAATGCACTGAGGGACCCTTGCTCGGGCATTTCTTGCTCAGCTTTGCAACATTCTGATCTGCTTAAGGACTATGTCTTTGCCAGTGAGTTTGAAACTCTGGCAGGTGCGCTGCTTGTTGCATGTATGGCTCATGAGTTGTGATTGTGGCTTTGAAACACTCCGGCCGACTGCCAGGAGTGTGTCCCTTTGTCCTTCTTCCGCTAGGTTCATCACTCAGTCAATCCAATTCAAGGACCAGAAGCTGAGCAGTCCATCGCACGGATGATTGATGGGTGCTGTGGAAGCATAAAGATTGCATGGTAAGGTGTCCTTGCTTTAAATCCTGACTTCTGTGGATGGCTCTAAGGCAGTTCCAAAGTCCAAAAGGGAAACCTTATGTATGTTTTGGTGGGTTCAAGCAAGGCAGAGGAAGTGGGGCCCCACTGTTAGCCGTTTTGGATGTGAATCCATACAATGCACCAAGAAATGCTCGCAGTGCAAGGGCTTGCGGTTGAGACATGGAGGTGGCTAGGCTGGCCAGGTCCATGAAAAGGCCAGATCTTATTTTTGAGGTCATGAATTCAGTGGACACTGGGGCCGGTCGCCCAATCTGTGCCAATGTTTTATTCCCCAGCTAGCGACAGCTATGGGGTTCATGCTTCAAAACAAACAATGAGCTGGCTGTGCGCTTGCTGTGGTGCTGGTGCTGGGTGCTGTGAGCTGGCTGTGCGCGTGGTGGACAGGGTGCCGGTGGTGCTGTGAGCTGGCGTTCCGGTGCTGGGTGCTGGTGCTGGCTGTGCGCGTAGTGGAGACACGGCACGTTGTATTGCGGCGTTTCTTCCCAGTGTGTAAGAAAGGTTCCTGTGTGTGCTTTGGAGCTACTGCCAATGCAGGGTGCAGTCCGGAAAATTCTGTTTCATGCTTTTGCTATCTGGGGTCTATGCTGGTGTAATTTTTTTGTCGGAATCTGAGGCCCTGAGCTGTCACGAACGACTTGTATGATCCGCTTGGTTCTAAAAGAGGCTGAAGGTGGTGATTGTCCAAGACGACATACCGTACACCCGCGTACTGTTACTGTAACACCTTTGCAGTATTTGGTGCACCGATGACTAGCGCAGCACCCCATCACCCGGCGGTTCGTCGATGTCACTCGAGCCGCGGCGTCGTCTGTGACACTGATGTGAAGGGCATCAACTGTGTAAAAGGTCATTGTGTGCAAGAGTGGTGTGAAAGGTATCAACAGGAATGTGATTGTTGGCCCACCCCCCCCACACTCTCCACAGCATGTGACCATCCGGTGCAAAAGTATGGAGCGCCATGGTGATGTGAAGGGTATGTATCGTGTGCAAGACCAGTGAGTGCAATAGTGATGTGAAAGGCATGAAAAGGGACATGATTGTATGCCCATGTGCCCCCCACGAGTGCGTGTGTCGCAGACGATCCATCCCCTGGGTTGCGCAGATGGTCCTGTATGCGTGTCGCAGATAAACCCCTTTCCTCGCTGCACTGCTGGGCTGAGCAACAACTGCTGCACTCTGCGGGTCATTGGTGTGCAAACCGCGCGCCAATACTGCTATTTCCCCAGATAGCTGGAAGCTATAGGGGGGGTCATATATAAGGCCTCACCCACGGTGTATCTTAGGGGCGATTCGTAACGTGGCGCACCGGCGGCGTACAGAACCGACCACAGAGAGCGTTTTGCCTTAGCAGACTCACAAGGGCGTTGTGTGAACAGCTTGCAGGAAGGCGTTTGCAAGGTGGTCCTAAACTAGAGGAAGCACAGAAGCACCTACACTCACTGACATGGAAGTGGGAAAATAATTCGTCATTTGAAAGACTACTTTCCTTTACGAATGTCATGGGACTCCATTCGTGCTCCGAGAGGAGCGTTTTGAACAAACATCACCGAAGAGAGAAGAGACCGAGGTCTGGGCGCCTTGTACAACCACTCCGATGAGCCCAATGTCTACCCGCACCGCTATGCCAACGTGCCGTTTCTACAGGTCAAGTTTTTGCATGTCTTTTTTTAATTTTTTCTTTTTCGTTTTTTTTTGAGTCCTGCCGCCTCCCGTAGCGCTCTCTTTTTGTGAGAGAAAGACTCTGAGTTAGCTTCTTGGTAGGCTTGGGTTTGCCAACGAGATGTGCAAGCTGGCGAAGAATTGCCATGCTCTGAATTGAGTCGCACAAGACATCAAGAATACATAGCTTCAGGGTGCCGGACTGCTTGAGTTAGGTTGTTGAACTATGGTGATGACTATTGGAAGGCGCTGTTGGCCTGTAGCAGCTACGCAATGCCACGCAATGCTACGCATGTTGGTCACCTTCATGTTTTCTTCCAGGCGCCCTGGCGAGACCCACCAAAGAGTGGTTCCTGGCACCGGATCGATTGCTGGTAGAAAATCGGGTTTGGGCGAGTCCGACAGTTTGAGGGTCGGTGCTTTCCGGTTGTTTGCATAGAAGCAGAACTGGCGGTTTGCCGCTCGTCCCAGACCGTGACGCTGGGCAAACAGCTGTTTACAGAAGCAACTTGATGCGCCAGAGAACACCGCAAACCACACCTAGCCAAACTTAAAACACTCCAGCTTCCACGGTTGGACAAGTTCCAATATGAGCTAGCTCCTGCCGGGTTCCAAGTGCAGCCAAAGAACATTTATATTATATACGTTGATATGATATGTCCAAGAGCATTTCCTTTCCTTTATCCTTTTTGATGTGGATCTCTTGGTCAGAGCTTGACTCTTCCCGATGCGGGGTGCTTGGCTTTGGTGCCACGTTCGATGGCTCTGAATGAAGACAGTCTCTTTGTGCTCTTTCTGTGTTACAGTCTGAGTCAAGTCCCTAAGGAAAGCGCTGTCCGTCGTGCCTTTGATGGGATTGCAGAGTTCCAGGTCCGCCGATTTTGGCATGCGGACGTGAGAAGCACAACCCGAACTTGTCCACCACCAGAACAACGTGTGCGCCACGAGCATTCAGTCCTTTTTTCTCAACAGGTACTTGTACCTTGAGGGTGATGCAGTTGAAGTGAGATTGTTCCAAAGAGCAGCCTGCATTTGGACTTGCATCACAACTGTGGAACACCGGTTGACCCCAAAAGTCATCCCGGGAAGACCCCAAGCAGCGTGGGGGGTGGTAGGAGACTTCGCTTCAAAGAGCGCGAACCTTGTGCAAGGGTTTTCAGACTCCCGAGATACTCGAGGGAACTTTAGCACGATCCTGGGACTCCACCGCGCAGGGGAGCGAGCCAACCCTCAATCTGAATTCCATCCTTTAACCCTTACTGCAACACTCTTTGGCCAAAACCGATCATTTTTTATGACTGTCAGGATCTTTGGGCTGAGCGATATGGTCGCTTTGCAGGCGAAAGAGGAAACAAAAATGCCAAGAGAAATGGACTGCCGGAGTGGTCACGGCGGTCACGGTGTGCAGGTGGATTTGCCACCAGACGTTCAAAGGATGCGATATGCTGAGGAACTCGACGTGCAGCTTTTTGCCATTCCTTTTCCCGTCTGTGGTCCAAACGCTGTATTCTTGTGTTGCAGACGCAGATGTCCACTTGAGGTTTGAAGAGATGTGCGAACTAGAAGGGGTGAGCCAGGCAAGGTCAAAGCATTTCGGCGGGTGTGTTGGAATAAAAGTCATGTTTTGGGAACAGTGATTGCAAAGGTCAGCGCAGCTTTTTGACTTTGATAGACTTAAAGGGCCCTAGCCACGTCTAGGGCCCTTGTCAATCTTCCTGTTTTGGAAGGTTTTGTTGTAAACCTTTCATACCCTCTGAACACGACCTGTGAGAAGAAGTGCTGGACACTTTCAGCCTCGATGGCAGACGAAAGACCTATAGAGTCCCACAACTTTGCTGGGACAAGTTGTGCCACATCTTTGGTCAGCATGAAGTGTGATGGTTGGCAGCCAACAAAGCGCTTATCAGCTTAACCGAGTTGTCTGTACTTTTCCGGCAGACTGAAATGCTGACCCGATGGATAGATGCTCGATGGGAAGCGATGGGATACAAGGCAGGACCCCTCATATGGCAATGTCCTGCACAGAAAGCAAAGACACCCAAAGACCCCTCAAGAGGGTGAGTGCCAGTGCTGAAGATTGCAGAACAGGACTCTGATTTGGAAAGAGAAGAGGTGGCCCAGGACACTGCGGTTGGTATCAGAACAAATCGTTTTTTGCTACGCTTCATGGACTCGAGATTTCAAAAAGAGGGTGGCTGGCCTAGGATACTGCTAGTGAATCAGAGGCAGGATCCCAAACCAGCTGCTTTTGACTCGAGAGTTTGAGCTTTTGCAGGCTGACAGCTGTAAAGGCGGGCGCTGGTTGAGCTGATTGAGATACGACCCATGATGTTGTCGCACTCTGCAACCCGCAACGTGCAACGGCTCTGAAACGTATCGTAAGACATTTGGGATGAGTTCTGATTTTTTTGGAGATACAAAACGCTCTCTGCAGGCGAAGCATGCCTGGAGAAGGGCCAAGACAAGCCGTTGGGAGCATAGTGAGGGCTTCACAGGTGGATGAAACATTTGTTTCGGGCGAGATGTTTTGTTTTAGGCACCTTGAAAGCACCGCTTCACAGGCTTCGCGTTCGGAACCATTTGCTGTAGAGGCTTAAGCACTTTGACCCTCTCCCCTCCGCTTTTTCTTCCAGGATGCAACAGAAGAAGATGAAGAGGAGAGCGAGGAAAATGAGGAGAACTCTCAGACCACGAACGAGCATCAGTTTTGTAATGTTTCGTTTGTGGGTTCTCGTGGCTGCACAGGAAGATGCCATGCCCGACATAGACACCTGGATGCAGCGGTATGGCAGTGAAGACTTGCGGTAAAGTCTCTGGTGCGAGCGCACGGACACTGGGACGATGACCTTCCAAGTTGAAGCCAGTGAGGTGTGAACCGGCAGCCAGTTCTGGCTCATTGGGCCCGACGAAATTGCAGCCATCAGGTCACAGAAGCATATACATAGCTCCAAGTGGTTGGCTACCTTTGTTTTTGAGGATGTGAAAGAGATGGAAATGACTAAAGTTGTAGAAGAGCAAAGGGGCAAGTCTTTTGCGCTTTGCCTAGTGCAGCAAAGGCTCACTACTGACTACTCGAAGACTCAAGCACTGTGATCCCGCATTGGGTGCTGTTGCAATCTCATTGGTCTGTTGTTCTTAATAGGGATTGCTGGCCATGTCCCTGGCATGGCCATTGAGAAGGCTGAGGCACCCGTCTTGTCACCTTGGTCACATGGCCCGTCCCGTCCCGCACGTCCCGCGTCGATCTCCAGGTTCTGCAGCCTGGGAAGGCCTCTGAGCTTTGCACGCGCAGTTATTTGGAAAAGATGTTCGGGCTGAAATCGCACATGGGTGTGCACAAAAATAGGAAGACCTCCCGGTTCGACCCGCTGGAAGAAGGGAACTAGAGCAGTTTATATACCCATTGGTTCCGGGTCTCCCTATTAAGTGGCACACCCACATGTTGACAACTGCCAGGTTGACGACATCATGATCCTAAGGCAAGTAGACTCCATGTGCTGATTGAGTTGTCAAGTGGCATTTTGGGGGGCAATGCGCATGGAACGAGGTGTATAGACAAGCATTTGGAGCCTTGGGATCCTGGGAAATTTGAGGCTGGGAGATGAACTGAAACCCAAACGGTAAAGTTCTGCAGCGGTCACACTGCGTCAGGTGGTTGCAACGTTGCAAAGCTGCCCCCGGAATGCTGGCCAAGTAAGACTAGTGCAGGTGGGCAACCAAAAGAAACGTTGCAGAGCGAGGGGAAGACTTTGTACAGCGTACCAAAACTGAGTGTTTTTTGGAGGAAACGAAAGACTCCTAAGGATCGCCGCCTAAAACGAAAGACTGGGCGGGCCACTGATCGGGGTGCGCCCAGGAGCGCTCTACAGGACGCCGCCTGGCGGTGAAGAGAATGCCATTGTCATGGACCTGCAAGGCAGTCGTGTGGTGCGGGACATCGAGGTTTTCTTTTGGATGCGTACTCTTCGCCTGTCTAGCAGTGTGCTTGCAATTCCTCCTTCCCAAACTCCATCCGATTCGATTTCTGTCCGACGGACACGCGCTTGCGCGACGGACACGCGCTTGCGCTACTGTTCAGGATGCAGATGCTTTTCGGTTCACGTACCCGTCCGAGACGGAGGCGCTCCGGGGCCGCTGGGGTTGGAAAGCCAAAGACCATGGCCATGAGTCTTTTGCCTACGGCACTACTGGTCGAGGTGCCGTGGATGGACATGGCTGCCACGAGGCGGGAAAGCTGTGATTTTCGAAGAAAAGAACGTGGAAAGTGATGGAAAAGGCGGAAAGAAACCTGAACAAATAGACGTAACACCCTTGTTGACGTGCCTTTTCGTTTTACTTTGGAGATCTTTTGAGCCACATCAAGACTGCCAGGTGGCTGAACCTGGTCGGCTTCCAGCACTGCATCGATTTTAGAGGAGTCTTCCGAGACGAAGACTACATTGCCTTCGTCATGGGACTTGCCGAGGTTGGACTGACTGAGCTGATGAAACATGCCAGCAGTTCCTAAGAACCATGCCATACCCTATGCCATGGATGCCATGGACATGGATAATTACTATGGGCACTAGGAGATTTACGGAGGTCTTGCCCCCAAAAGGTCTTGCATGGATTCATAGCTGACTTCTCCGCCAGGGAGGAGATTTGTTCTCCTTTGTTGATGCGATGGGACTTCCAGGAGCGCACATGTTTCTTTCTGACCGACAGATGCCATGGTGTCCTTGTTGCGCCATTACATTTTCCCTTGCCAGTTCCTGGTCCTGCACTTGAAGAAGCATTACAGCCTATAGCGGTTGGTGCCTGAGTTTGTTTTGAACTTTTAAATCAGACGGACAAGCTCACTGATCAAATCACGCTGCGTAGACTTTGTGTCTCATCGATATAATTGCTCAATGCTCGCACAGAGTGGCCAAATGCTCGAGCGACGCGGTGAGAAATGACTTCTTTGCTAAGCGATCAGAGACCACATTTGATTCGTCAAAGGACATCTAGCTTATATAGAGTCTAAGAGATAGAAGAAGGACTTCGGAAGCTTCGAAGGTACAGACTAAGTGGCACGTTGTGCGCACGCAGACTCACACACACTCACATACAGAGTTGAGCAAGAAAGAAGTGTCCATCAGAGCAGAGTTGTGGGCCATAGTACAGTGTATCCTGAAGAACTAGTCCACACGGTTTAGGGTTTCAGTCACTTAAAGCACACAAACCAGGTCTCCACGGTTCACATCGATCGGCTTGCAAGGTGCACTCCAAAGGAGGGTTTCACAACGGATGCCAATTGGATGCCAATACAAATGGGTCGATCGCATCCAATGTAGGACGCCCGCGGAATCGGACGACTGGGCGCAGTCGAACCTCAGCATCTCTATGCTCAAGAATGCTTTTCCTCAAGGCGACAGTGGCGCTTTTGCATGGACGATCACTGCATTCTAAGAGCCGCTGTTTCTTTTGGTCTGCTCCACCCCACTGGGCCCATTCCACACCTGTCAACCTTCGAACATGTTCCCCTATCATCACCATCACCTTCTTATTTCCTTCGTTCCTTCGTTCGTTCGTTCGTTCCTTCGTTCCTTCGTTATTGATTTATTTCTTTCACGACGCCCTCAGCTTCAGGAGGATGCGTTGACCCCTTAACCTCAGAAAGAGGTGAATCTGTACTTCACCACGTGTGGTCAATCGAAAAGCTTGAAGAGGAGCTGCCCATCCCAAAAGTGTTTCAAACAAGTACAGACATGTTCGTCCATGTTCTTGATTTCACCACAGTAAGGCTGACATGTGAATCCGCGCTCGGTGATGGTGCTGCAAGTGCTGCAACAAGTTTGCCGGCCACACATTGCAAGCATGCAGCGCCGCACCAGCGCATTGCATACGATTGATCAAGGGAAGCCAAGATTCCCGCCATGGTTTCCCAGTTGCAAAGGCATGCTCTATGGCACTCTCTGAAGAAGCTACTAGGGGCTCCTGGCATCGCTACTAGGAGCAGGAAGCTACTAGGAACAAAGGGTGGCTTTGAGCACTTTGTCCTTCCACCGTAATCATCCACCAGCAGCCAAAGGATGAACATTCCTCCTGAGTATCAAATCATGCAAAGTGCACAGTTTCTCAGGAGCGGCGTCAGGATCCAGTAAGGGTCATCCCAAAGTGCTGTCCGGTAATGCCCAGAGTGAGGGTCCTGCCCAACCCACACCTATCAACCTTCGAACGTGTTCCCCTACCATCATCATCATCATCATCATCATCATCACCATCACCATCACAATCACCATCAGCATCACCATCAGCATCACCATCAGCATCACCATCAGCATCACTATCACCATCATCATCATCATCATCATTATCATTATCATCATCATCATCATCATCATCATCATCATCATCATCATCATCATCATCATCACTCTTGACAGAACATCGTCTTTCGGTGCTTTTTGGGGGTCAGTAGTCCTTATACCGCCTTGCTTGAGTCTGTTGGAGAGTACGATTCTGTCGCTCATTGCAGACCCTTCACACCTGTATACCAAATGGTGTTTATGCAAGCATACAGACATAGCTGCAAGCATGCGTGGCTCAGGAAATCCCCTGCACCGTTTTATCATGTCGTTGTTCAATGTGCGAATTCTAGTTTTATGCCTTTGGCACATTTTGGCATGTTGGGGCGATTGGCTACTATGGCTTCTTCCTCACTCCCCTCAAGCTTTTCTTGTTTGAAAGTTGCACGTTTTCCATTGAAAGGTACTGTACAAGTCTTGGGGTTGCCCATTACCCCATGTTCCTTACACGGCCATGTTCTTGGGGTTCTGGAGGTGACCCATTGATGTTTGGGGCCACACGGGCAGGAAGTGATCTGTTTGAGGACACCGCTGCCAGTGTGTCATTCCTTTATTTGTCAAATAATGCATCCCCGTTGCAGCGCAATTTTTAATCTGAAACAAGATGAACAAATGATTTGGGCACCGTGAAGTTTTATTCTATTCAATCAGTTGGAGAATGCATGGCATTCCGTGATCAAAGGCACATTCTGGGGTTCTACAGCTAGATGGTTGTGCGTGGGTTCGTGGAGGGTATATATAAACTTTTGTCCATGGAGGGTAGTACAAGTGGTTGTTCATTATGCAGTTCAATGAATTTGGCAACGAAAGAGGCTTGAAGCAAGGGAACTGAAACATTTGAGCCCTCACTACCAGGCGCTTGCATCGATTGAGTTAAGTTGCAACCATTTGCAACTGTCATGCCAATCATGGTAAAGGATGACAAAAGCAATAGACATTTGTTTTTGTGTGCACCCAGCCCAGCTTGGCGAAATCCGCGCCTCTGCTGGAAATCATTCATATTGGCCTCAAGATTGAAGCCTACCAGCTCAGGTAGAATTTCTGTTTGCTGTTGCTCGTCTTCATCGGTTGGAGCTCAGATGAATGTTGTTGATTTAAAGAAAAGGAGATTCGAAGCCAACCAAGGCTGGGCCTTGCACATAGAGGCCCTCCAGTGGCTGACCGGAAACATGGAAACCTTTTGCGCACACACACACAAACAACATGCAAATCTATTCCTGTTGGGCAGATCTCTCGTTGGAGAACGTGCTTTTGGCGAACAAGAAGGCATCGGCAGAACGTGAAGCATGCAATCGGCGGCTGATTCATGTGCACTCGCACAAAGCGAATGTGCTGCAGGGTGGACCAGTCTATCTCATTGACTACAGCATGGCAACCACGAAGAGATTTCATACAGGCCATGACAGAGAGTTCGGATTGTCAAGGAGTCTGAGTTCGGATTTCTTTTGGATTGCAGGACCGGCATGTGGCAAAGCCTCGTATATCGCTCCGGAGGCTGGAACCTGTGTGAGTAAGAAGTCCGTGAAATCTCGTGACGTGCTTCCGTCAGATGCACCTGGGTGACTATGACGCCTTCCAGGCCTTCCGTTTTTTGGACGGAAAAAACATGCGAACCTGCGGGGAGGGCCTAAATGAAGTAGAAAGAGGCGTGCGAATGGCTATTTGCGAAGTATGCATTAACATGATGAATCACTTTTAAGTCCAAAGGAGGAGGAATTCGGACATCCCGACATATTTTGGGACAACTCCATTTCATTGCAGGCAACAAAGACGAACATATGGTAGGTTCAGAACCTGTGGTAGGCAAAAAGGAAGTTGTTCTTGATTGTAGGTGTGGCTGCGAATGACCCAGCAATGACGAGTTCAAGTAATGCAGTCATCCTTTTGTTCTGCATATGCACCCTGTGAAGTCCGCAGGCAGATGTGTTTTCCTGTGGTGTCATCCTCTATGCCTTGTTTGCGAAGGACCTGAAAGCAAGCCTTTTACATGATTTGCCGCAAAGAAGTGAGAACTTTGGAGAACAAATAGCTGTAACCAACTCTCAAAGGGTTTTCGAGGTGTGGTCTATTTATTCATACATATTTTTGTTTGATCGAAGGACTACCCTTGGATCTCTACGCGAGCTGGTGCTTGCAAGTGCTTTGAGTATGTCCGCACACATGGCTTCCTGAAGTTTATGAGCAAACGACGCATCATTGTGGGCAATGACAAGAAGCCCGTGCAGCAGGCGGGAGCGGCAGGAGAGTGTCCCTGTGGGTGGAAGTCAGTGAGAAAACCGTCATGTCGAAGAGTGATTTGGGTCGATTGGGGCTTTGGGCTTTTGCATGGCGAGATGTGATATGTGGTAGGTGATGTCGCCATCATTTACGCAGCTTCTGGATGGTTTGCTTCGCTTCAAGCCAGAGGCATTGGGTTGTCTCATGATACAGTCTTGCAATCTTGTTCGGCGAAACGCTTGTCCTTGCATTTTCCTTCAAATGGATGCTGTGGGATGCTGTGATGGTGACACGCAAAAACCTGGTGAGAGCTGCGTGTTTGGTTCGGAGCCCGCTTCTTCGGAGCCCGCTTCCAGCCGTCCGATCTGTCAGGATCGCTTGGTCCTTCTGGAAGCTCAACCAGGCACGACGAGCGAAGCGAAGAGCTTCGACGAGCTGAATCGCCACCTCGACTCGCCGACGTGGACCGGAAATCGGATCAGGCCTGAGCAGTAGCAGCGTTTGGGCTTTCTGCTTAGAGTTGGAGAGGTGTTCCTTCATCTCCCTTGCAAGTCATACAAAGATTGATGCCTGAGGCTCAACCTTGGCTGAGACAGGCAAGATTCAGTTTGTGAAAACGATTCTCATTCTTGCTTGACACCTCAAGACTTGACTGCTTGCAACAGACGCGGTAGAAGAGTAAATCCCCCAATATAGGCCCTCGTCACTTTCACTCGCCTCCTCGACGCGTTGGCAACTCCGCAACGACTCCAGGCTGTTGAAAAGAGCCCGGAGCTGCTGAGTTGGTTACGAGAGGAGCCTGTGAGCGAAGAGATTCGGTGCATCCTCACTGTTGGACGTTTGTGCAACCCAAGAAAACCGAGTTAAGTGGGATCTATTCATGTAAGAGATGTGTTTAAAACCCTGTAGCGCCACTGCCTTTCCAAGTTTCTTCTTGAGCGATGTGTGAAAACTGCTCCAGCCCTGGGAGGAGCGAATCATTTGAATTTTCTCTGCGCAAATCTCCGGAGATTTCTTTGTTTCCAGTGCGGACTCCAGCCTGGCTGACCATGGCCAGCTCCAGTTCCACTACACTACACCCTTTTGGGAAGGTTCCACGCAAGTAGCAACAGGCCGCCTTGAACTTCATGCATCCTTTTCATCATTGATTGTGTCGGTGCTTCTAAAGCCTTGCTTCTTGCGATTGTGTTGATTGACATTGTGCTCTGCAGAGTATGTCGCGAGACCCCATGCCCTTGGCGCTTGTTCGCCCAATGAGCAGGCAACGTGCAAGGGACTAGCTGAATGCTGCAAAAAGTGGTGGAGAGTTGTTACGGCCGAAATAGGAATGATCTGATTATTAGGTTTTAATTGTTCTAATCATACACCATTGACAACATGCTTTTTTTGCAGATTCTAAACTTATTTACAATAATCATCAAAATTAAATATGGGTAATAAATATATATATTTTTTTTTAAATGAAATGATTTCGTCTATTTTATTATTTCTTTTATATAATATTTTTAATTATTTAAATATATATATATATTGTAATAAAACAATATAATATATAAAACAAATAATAAAATTAACGAGATTTTTTTAATTAAAATATATATTATTAAAACATCATTTCTAATAATTGAAATAATAAATAATATATTTAATTATAGAAATTTATTAATAATTAATAAAATAATTATATTATATATATTAAGAAATTTTTGAATTTAATTGATGTAATTTAATAATTAAATAGATTTAAATTAATAAAATAGTTATATATATATTTGGTAAAATGTTGGAAATTAATTAATTAAATTAATTTTTTAATATATATTTTTTTGATTTGGGAACGATTTTTATAAAAGGTATTTATAATATTTTTACGAAAGGTAGTTTGGTAAGGATTACATTGAATTTGCTTTACGAAGAAAAGGAATTGGTTTGGTTGCTTGGATTATGGATATAAGGTGAAATTATGCGCTTAGCAATGGTAGCAATTTGACGTTGGTTAGGAGATCGCGCAATACAGCACGAATCCTACGTAATGAGGTCGCGCAATGCGGCTTCGGTGTCGCGTGCGCGCGCGCACTCGGAAGCTTGACGTAACGCATATTGCGGTACTGCGTTTATAGACCATATTGCTCGATACTACGAGCATCGATGCGACACAATTTTTTTGCAAAGAATTGGGGAGAAACCCCTCGCGTCGCGGAACATCATTCGACTTAGCGTGGCGAAACGCTTCCGCATGGAGTACGCCCACCATAGCGTGACGTCCATCCGTGGCAGTGCCGGCCGCGCCCCTCCAACACTATCCTTGTAAGGGGGTTGGTCACTGCGGCTTCGATGCAATGCGTGCAGGCCTGTAATCCTGACACAATGCGTGCAGCTGTGGGACCATAATTGACTTACGCATTACGATTTTTGCGCGCGCTTTTTTTGACACATCTTTAAACAAACGAGCGTCGACGTAACGCAGCCTCTCTGTAGAGCCGCGTGGCTTCTTGTGTGATTGACTAAGGGACACATTTCTGAAAAACCGGAGACAGTCCCTCACTAGAAAAGGTCCCGACAGCTACCCGATCCGTCTCTACCTTTCGTGTTTCCCCGCTCAAGTGTATGGTAGTGGAATTTCGATCGTAAGATATTCGTTGGTTGGGGGAAATTCTAGAATTAAGGGTGTTTGGATTTGCGAATTTTTGATATTCGTATATTTGGTAGGAGTTACTAATAATATATTTTTGTAGGAGATTAATTTTTATAGATTTGGTCGAATGATTTTGAAATCGTGGAAGATGAAGAAGAAAAAATTGTATTCGGTGATTTTTGAGGGCGTATTTATATTGGTAAAAATATATGAATATAATTAGGAAGAATTATAGATATATTCTTTTTGATAACTATTCTTTTATCGTATTGATATTCCAAGGAATATATAAAATCAAGATAATTCGAAGGTTAGTACCAGAATAGATTTTTAATGGCCTAATTATGGATTTTAGTAGAAATTAATTTTATGTATATTAATTTGCCCGGGATTATGGCATAAAAGACCATTTAGATAGGGAATATGATGGCGCGACGGATCATTAATTTAATACTATAAATATATATCCATTTCGGCATTTATTATTAATTGCAAAAATATCCGAATAATATTTAATATATTTATACGAATAATCCGACGACAAATTCTTTTTATCCTTTATAATAATACCTAATTCAAGCCCATACCTCACTAATTTTCATTTTATCAAAAAATCACCTTAGCATTATAAAACACATTTTATCTTTTCGATAAATAATAAAACCAAATTTTTGTGTCAAATATTAACAAAAAAATAAAACAATTAATATAATAACCATTATATATTAATTTACAGATAAAAATATCATCAAGATACAATAATAAATTCATCTATATAATAACGATAAATATATATATATACATATATAAACAATTAATGCCTACATAAAAAACAACCATATCATCATAAATTTAATACATAATACTATATTTGGAATAATTTCAAATTATAGGGGGTATTGAAAAAAAAGAAATCCCGTGTCTTTTGCAATACCTCGAAATCATGGTATCGTTTTATTCTATTTTTCCCCAAACAGTTTACTGTGAGGGGTTCTCAATGCTTTAAAGAATGGTCGCCTTGGTGCTGGATGGTCTGGTCGGGTTCCCGGCCGGCTTGTCTCCCACTTCCTTTCATTTGTCTCCCAATTCTTTTCATTTGTCTTCCAAGCTGGGTGCTTGTGGTCGGGTTCCCGGCTGGCTGTCTCCCACTTCCTTTCATTTGTCTCCCACTTCTTTTTCAATTGACTTCCAGTTCTTTTCATTTGTCTCTCAGGCTGGGTGCTTTTGTCTTCCACTTCCTTGAATGTGTCTCCCACTTCTTTTCATTTGTCTCTCTTGTGGTCCGGTTCCCGGCTGGCTTGTCTCGCACTTCCTTGCATTTGTCTCCCATTTCCTTTTATTTGTCTCCCGCTTCTTTTCATTTGTCTCCCAGGCTGGGTGCTTGTAGTCGGGTTTCCGGGCGGGTTGTCTCCCACTTCCTTGCATTTGTCTCCCACTTTTCCCACTGTTAGGGGCGTAATCAATTCTTTCTTGAGACGTGTCCGCCCTTTGTGTCACTGCTGGTGTCCGCCCATTTCCACTGGCCATGTAACATTTCTATTCATCCGTCTCTCAGGTCTGTCACTGCTGGTCCGCCCTTTTCCGCTGGCCATGCAGCATTTCTATTCATGTGTCTCCCAGGTCTGTCACTGGTGGTGTCCGCCCTTTCCCGCTGGTCGTTCGTGTAGCATTTCTTTTCATTTGTCTCCCAAGTCTGTCACTGCTGGCGATGCAACATTTCTATTCATTTGTCTCCCAGGTGTGTCACTGCTAATGTCCGCCCTTTTCCGCTGGCCATGCAGCATTTCTGTTCATTTGTCTCCCAGGCCTGTCACTGGCCCTTTCCTGCTGGATTTGTCCGCCGCATCTGTCACTGCTGCTGTCCGCCCTTTTCCGCTGGCCATGTAGCATTTCTATTCATTTGTCTCCCAGGTCTGTCACTGGTGGTGTCCGCCTCTTTCTCCTGGCCATGTAGCATTTCTGCTGGTGTCCGTCATGTAGCATTTCTGTTCATCCCTCAGGTCTGTCAGTGGTGGTGTCCGCCCTTGGACGCTGGCCATGTCGCATTTCTCTGTTCATTTGTCTCCCAGGTCTGTCACCGGCGTTGTCCGCCCCTTTCCGTTGGCCATGCAGCATTTCTATTCATTTGCCTCCCAGGTCTGTCACTGGTGTCCGCCCTTTTGCGCTGCCGATGCAACATTTCTATTCGTCTGTCTCCCAGGTCTGTCACTGGTGGTGTCCGCCCTTTTCCGTTGGCCATGTAGCATTTCTATTCATTTGTCTCCCAGGTCTGTCACTGCCAGTGTCCGCTGGCCATGCAGCATTTCTATCTCCCAGGTCTGTCACTGCTGGTGTCCGCCCTTGTCCATTGGCCATGCTGCATTTCTATTCATGTGCCCCCCAGGATTGTCACTGGTGGTGTCCGCGACCATGTAGCATTTCTATTCTTTTGTCTCCCAGGTCTGTCACTGGTGTGTCCTTGTCTTTTGGCCATGAAGCATTTCTATTCATTTGTCTCCCAGGTCCGTCACTGCTGGTGCCATGTAGCATTTCTATTCATTTGTCTTTCAGGTCTGTCACTGGTGGTGTCCGCCCTTTTCCGCTGGGCATGCAGCATTTCTATTCATTTGTTTCTCGGGTCTGTCACTGGTGCTGCCCTTTTCCGCTGTTTCTATTCATTTGTCTCCCATGTCTGTCGCTGCTAATTTCCGCCCTTTTCCGCTGGCCATGCAGCGTTTCTATTCATTTGTCTCGCAGGCCTCACGTACAGCCAGTGTCCATGCCGATGGAGTTCCTTTCAAGGTCTCTGCCAACTGCTTGTCCACCTTGTTCAACTCATCGTAGTTGTCAAGATAAACTCGGTACTGATGGGATGCGGAGC